TTGGAATCAACACAACATTGTAACGATAACACCCTAGCACACATTTATGCAAGAATTTCACAAATTAGTTGAATATCTTTCTTTGAAGGGCCTTTATACCAGGCCCCGTGTTGTTTACCCTTAGATCTAGCCTACATCGCGACAGCAAAACAACGAATTTTGCAAGAATTTCGCAAGAATTTCGCGGAGTTTCGATCGATATTGGCGCTCAGAGATTGAGGTCAGGTTTGTTTACAAGTTCTACTGCCTTTCGACAACTTAAAAAGTCGGAACTATGTTAAAAAGTGCACATTTGTTAAGGATTTCGTTGAGCCGCTCACAGCGTTCGAATGGATAGCGGAAAAACTCAGAGCCGCTGTCAGCGGCCGAATGGACGGAATCAGTTAATGATTTAATAGGGCCTAAGCCTAAGATAAGTACGGCTGGACTGGCAGTCTAGCCGTACTTAAGTACGGCTAGACTTCTTGGCTATCCGTACTCCCCGTACTTAAGTACAGGTAGACAACCAGGCTAGCCATACTTAAGGACTGCTAGACTGTCAGGCTAGCCATACTTAATATTGATGGCTGAATTGTAAATGAAATTTTTAGTTCGGAGTTTCTACGAACACAGTAACCGGCAAACGGGCACGTAGTCTCAGTATCATGTACACGGTAACCGGGCAGTAGAACTCCAAGTTCAGTTTTTGTCATTCGGTGTTGCCTTCTTCCCCACCCCTCCCCTGACTGAAAAAAAAAATCAATACCCCCCATTCCGGAGCCCTATACTTCGCAGCGCACATGCTTTGAATGAACAGTGGTGACCCCAACCGGTACTCACAATGTGATGTGCACGCACAGGTTCACTGACTGGTCAAGATGGCGAGCCCGACAAGACGCTTTTATATGTGACTTTCTTTTTTATTGAGCAAGTGACAGGTGCACAGGACAAAATATTGATTTAAATAATTTTCATTCTGGTTTACCGTGTACGTAGATACAGAGACTAGGTGCCCGGTTACCGTGTACGTAGACACTCCGTTTTTAGTTTGAAATGCCGAAAGTATTTGTATTTCAGACAAAACCAAAAGGTGCCTTACTGACTTGCATTATTTGAACCTGAATAGTTACGAGATCTAGATGTAATGAGACCTGTGTACTTAACAGGTTTGAGTCGATAGGGCCAAACTAGATCTAAGTACGGCTAGACTCTCAGGCTAGCTGTACTTAAGTACGGCTAGCCACTTCGATTTGATATTTAATTTTACAGTTAGATAAAGATTTGAAAATTTCTCGACAATAATCGATTTGCGACAGCTTTAGTGGCTTTGTGTGATCTGCAGCTACCAGTACTGCAGTTTGACCCCAGAAGCAGTGCATCTGTATGCGGGAGTGAAAGTAAAATTTTACCACATCTAGATTGTAGAATCTAGATATATCTATCTACTCTCGAAAATCTCAGATTATTTCAATTCTTTTTTGTTTTTAGGTAATTGAAATAGAGAGACCCTGAATTGCCAGGTAATTGTTGAGGAGTAAATTAAGCGTGAGACTGGAAGGAAACACTAAAAGTGAGAAAATCAAAATCCAAGCTAAGAATGGCCCTTTTTCGGCAGATCCCTCCCACAAAATAATTTTATTATTTGCCGGTTTGGGCCCCAAGAGGGGAGGACTTCCGTAACGAGTGACCACGATGAGACCGAGTAGAATAGAAGTTTGGGGTAAGGGTAGGGTTTGGGTCAAGGAGTTTACAGTAATGGAGGATGCTCTGTGGGCGGCACCCACGCCTGATAGGAGCCCTCTCTCGCAGCGGAACTGTGGTCTACCTGCGCTGCGCTTACGCACTGAAATCTAGATAAGAAAGAAAGGTTTTATTCCGAGATTAGGCAAGTCAATGAGTAAAAATGCCTTCCACCTGTGTTGTGTTTAAGTGTAAGAACGGATATGATGCTGCAGTGGACTGAAGTTTTCACAGGTGTTGTTTTCCTTTTTAAAAAATCTGAATGAAAGTGTTTTTATGCACCCAGCGACACAATTTAGTATATTTTAAACATTTATAAGAGGCTGGCTCCGGCGCTATCTGCTAAGGCCCACCCGGGCAGAAAGGGATACACTGTAACAACACCCCAGAAGAAATAATTGCATAAGAGCATGCTCTATGCGCTTCACAACTATTACAAGAAAGACCGAGATACTTGATTTTAAAAAAATATTCTTTCTTGTGTGTGTGTGTGCGTGTGTATGTAGTATGTATATGTATATGTATATACATATATATATACAGAGCTGTTAAAGTACTTTTTAAAAAGTACTTAAGTACACATTTAAAATCTAAAAAATGTACTTAAGTACAGTAAAAGTACTTTCCTGTAAAATGTACTTGAGTACAAGTACTTTTTAAAAAAGTACTTATGAGTACATTTTGAGTACTTTCTGCTAATATCATGCTAAAACTCTTCAGTGCTAACGCAAAACATCATATTGAATAACATATCCAGTATATTTGACAAATTAGGCCATTTATTACTAAAAATGTCAACAGTATACCAAGCATTTGATACATGTACGCACTGAACGTAGGTGGAAATGGTCTGTGAAATTGAAAAAAACAAACCCATACAAACTGACACAAATACAGGGTACTACTAGCTTGTGAGTGCACCTAACCTTTGTAACATCCACTGCCATTGTAAATGACCAAGACAAATTTCTCCCTGCGAGATGAATAAAGGTTGTCTCTGTCATTGTCATTTAGGTGGTAGTTTTGAGGTATATATGCTATGTTCAGATGTGGGATATTGTTGTTCTTGAAATTCCAGAGACAGAGATTCATTGATGTCACTAAAAAAATCACAAGAAAAATTCATAAAGCCTTTCTAGAGAAAAAATGGTATACAATAATCTAAAATTGACAAACAGCTTGCATTTTCACTCACTGATGATGCGCTACAAAGTGAGAATATAAATGCAAATGAAATACTCTTTCTGGTTATAGAAGTGAAAACTGAATATTCATTCATTGGTGTTCTGATTATTTTTCTCTCTCATTTTTATCAGCTATTCAAGGGGCATCCTGTATTTTAGTCATATTGTGCTGAAAAAATTTTGTTAAGTGACTTGGTAACTCTGAGAGGCCCATTATCTTTAAAATTAATGTATTATTTTCCTTGTGTTGACTCAATTTATTTTACATTTTTTATGGGTGGTTGGCGGGTGCTCTGGTGTGCTTTTTTTCTTCTTTCCTATTAAACGTCTATCGTCTTTTTCATCCCTCTTTCTATTTTGTGTTTGTTGTACTCTCTTGTAACACCTCAAATCTTCGGCACTTTTATGACCTTATGTGTTGCAAGTGCTGTAAAACTCTTACTAAAACTAAAACTTACATTTTTTCAAACTAAATATTTTGAAACAAATTTTATGAAAAGTTTTATTTTGTGATGCTTCTTTCTACTTGAATTTTTAACATGAATTGATTTCATGAGAATTTCCTATTTAAACTCCAAGCTAGGTGTAGTATAGATTGATTCTCACCTATGTTTTTTAACATTTTATCTCCCCACAGAACTGATAAAATTTCATCTGTGAGTAATCACCGATCTCGACCATACAAGTCATGGTCTCAACAGGATGACATAGAAAGTATTTCATCTGCCCTAAGCACTGTGCCTGGTTCCTACTCACGGTTTCCTAGTCACAAGATGTCTTCCAGTACTCCAAGCAAGAGACAGGTGATTGTTTCTCCTTCTTAAGTATTTGGTTTTTATCATGTTTTTGTGAATGCTGCCAAGAATTTCGGGTAATTTTGCTTCCTGTAATCCTACTCCCTGACTTCCATGTCATGAAGTGTAGCTGTGATCTCTGGTCTGTTTTATCTATAACATAAAATATAAAACTTATTTACGGCCTCATTTTCTTTTATCAGAGGTGCCTATTTTCTGCATAAATGCCGAAATCTGGGTTTCTGAAATTGTCCGGATTTTGTTTAAGGCATGTCACGGGTCTGCAAAACACGATATTTGGATGAAAATTTTGATTTTTAACTGTGTCAATTTTTGGGTACCTGAATATCTAAAGAATCGATATCACTTGATGTTTCATTCTCAAAAATACAAGAATTCACCATTAGAGGCGTTTTCAGGAGGGCACCCTATCCAAAAGTTGGCACGTTTTCTTCAAATTAGCACATAATTGGAACGTGAAAAGAACCATGTGTCTCCGTGTCACCCTAACATGTTTAGTATCGTTGTGCTCCCAAGCTTTTCATCTTTCAAGACAATAAACGATCAAGACCATCAAGATTTATGTATTTCTGACGGTTGAGCACATATAGGCAAGATTCAGGGCTCCTCTTTTTGTAGATTTTGGGTTGTCTTGAACAAAACGAAACCCCGTTGCTAAAAATAATATTATATGACGTCAACACTCAGTTGTGAAGGCCGTGCGGTAAATTATTATGGTCTCCAACAGTACTTTACGATCACCGCCATTTCTTCTTTCGATTAGAGAGTCGTTTGAAGTATTGCCACGGATGAAACCGTCTAATTCGCTTTTGTATTTGACAACACATAATCCTGTTTCTGATCCCTCAATTTTTGTAGGTTACAGAGCAGGTAAATCTAGGCTGTTTCCCTATTTGCGTGTATAGTACGATCGAAGAAGTCGTTTTTACGCTCATCGTCGCGTCAAAGATCAGCCACTCTAGTGAATGTGATCACATAAACGTTGTAAAACTCGAATAAAGGTACAATGTTAAGCTCAAGACGGGATCACACCGAGGTGGGAACTGACCGATGCGTTCGTTTTCGCTACACATCGCTCTCGCATCTGAGCTCTCCACCTAACTTCGCTCAAGACGGGATCACATCAAACTGTGTACTCTTCCCTGACCATTGCAGCAACTGTCTCAACTCCCGCATTTGCAAGACAGATTGAATTTTAATTGGTGTGGTAAAAAAAAACAACGTAATGTGCGTAACGATAAAGACGGTGGAACTCGGTCAGAGATGGAAAGCTATCAATTTTGGACAAGTAAAGTAAAGGGGAGGGGCAACTGGACAAGCATAGATCTTGAGACTCACAGTAGGATAATAAGTGAAAATGGCATGCCTCATAGAACAAAACGTTATCGTCGAAAATCAACAATAAGATGGGCTGCAGTCTGCCATCAAACAACACTATCCTTGGAAGGTATGTAGATTTCAAAAGGCCAGACATGTGTACCTGTGTCTAACAAATGGAAAGGTGAACGGTATGGTTAGTCGTCAGAGAGTTGAACTCTATCTTTCGATAACTTCTGTTGACAAAATTTTAATACACGTTCTCGATTTGAAGGCATGCCATTTCAATATATATACCAAGTCATTTCCGGTTCCCACGCCAGGGAACAGATCAAACGGTAGCTATGGTTTCTTGAGGATAATGATTATGATAATTCATTCTTAGAAAGAGTTGTTCTGCGATGAAGCCCATCTTTATTTGAACAGAGACGTGAACACAAAAAATGACATTCGCTGGAGTCCAGAAAGACCAGACAACAGAATGCGTAGGACTCATTGGTCCGAACTGGTTGAAGACTATGGTATAGCAACAGTGGTAGTAGATCAATATGTGAAGATTCTTGATCGGTGTTGAAGATCATTGGGAAGATTATGTGGGACCTCAAGAGCGTAAATGACCATGGTTCTAGCAAGAAGGAGCACGCTATAAGTTCTAGTCATCGAGTGGAACCAGAATCACTTCAACAGAAGTTGCGGTATACCTTGTGCCGAGCTTCACACAATCCCAGCCTGAACCCGTTGGACTTCCAATAATGGGGCAGATGTGTGTCCAGACTTTTCCCAACTATTGTGAACTGAGGCAAAACGTGGAGCACATTGCTCGACAAATAAAATTCTTCTAGAGCAGCACCAGAACAGAAGGTAGTAAATCACGTTTCAACGCCGAACAAGGGAGTGTGTCTCTCATAACTGTCGCCACATAAAACGCATTCTTTGACTGCCCAGAACATCTGTAACGAATAGTGGGATTCTCCTGTAACCTAGTCAGACTAAATTCACAAATGGTTCTCATTTTCCTAAATTATTTTACAGTACCCTTGACAGATTTTTAAAATGTGAGCACTTGGGATACGTGGCAAACACACACATGCGAGCATGCACGTGCACTCATTCACCCACACTCAGTGTGTGAGAGCGTATGTTGTGTGTATGTGTGTTTGTTTGTTTGCTAGTACGTGTGTGTGGGTGAGTGTGTGTGTGTGTGTGTGTGTGTGTGTGTGTGTGTGTGTGTGTGCATGTTTGGGTTGGTGCAATCTCGGAGCGTGTTACTGAACAATTGTTCTGATTTGTACGTGACTGGTCAAGGGTAGTAACTAACTAAAAATTACTGAAGGTGGTCATGTTCACCTGTCATTGAAAGCTTATTTCATGGGGAAATGAACATATAACCTTATTAATTTCATTTAATATATCAGAGAGGGGCCAACGTTTCAAAAATATCAAATTTATTGTTTAAAAAACTATGGTTTTCGAACTTTGACGTTGTCAAATAGGTGGGGCTTTTCTTTTGCGTTTTTCTCAAAAACTACTTTTTCACTATGGTGATGACGCGGGGACAGACGTTTTTCTGAACTTATCTAAGCTACAAACTTGAAATTTGGCACAAAGGTGCTGTATAGTCTGTTTTGTTATCCGATGTCAGCATTTTGCGAAATATGCATTGCTTTTAAAAAAATTTCTGCTTTTTTGTCCTTGTACTAGTTTTTTTCAGAAGTCATCCGGTGATATATGGATATTTTTGTTGTTTTTCGTGATAGACGAAAATCTCTCCTTCGGATTACAGATAATAGGTTTGTGTATTTGTGTGCCAAGTTTGAGGCTTAAAATCGACTTTTTTCTGAGGAAAACGTCTGTCCCCGCAACATAGCAAAAAATCCAAGATGACCGGCACAGAGCCCAACTTTTTAACAAAACTAAAAAAAATCCGTCGTAATTCTTCTAATTATTCTATAATTAGCAAGTACCACCTTTAAAAATTGAAAGAAAGTCAAACCCCTAGAACTTTCCTCGTATCATGTACATGTCGTTAAGTAATATATTCCAGAAAAATATCCATATATTGTTATGTCTTTTTCCATGTCATATTAAACTTTTATACAAAAAGTCTTGGTACAAGATGCACGAGCTGTAAATTTTGAGTGTCCACACACACATTTCTATGGGGTCCAGAAAAGTCAGGGGGTTTTTTTTTCAGCCAGTTGGCACTTGTTTTTTCTTTTTAATGTTACTATCATTTGCTGTTTGAGTATATCCCATGAATGCGAACCCTTTTGCTCAATATGCTAGCATCATCATGCTTTCTTAAATAATTATTGTTTCATTTTTTTCAAAGGCAACAGTTACTTTTAATTTATGAATGGAATTTATGTAATTTGCCCCTGGGCAACTAATCTCTACCTTTATCTTCTGATTTTACTTTTTTACTCAACTGAATCATAAAGAACACAATTTTTTATTCAAAAAACCTTTTCGACTCTACAGATGGCAGGGAAATCAAAATTTAGAAGTGATGGCTTTGAGTCTGACAGCTCCTCAGAGTCAACGAAAGAGAACCGAGGTGGAGATAAGTATGAGCGCAAACTGCTTTTACAAAACCAGAGGCTTTTGTTGGAAGTTGAGCGACTGATTGGTGACTTGCATGCTTCCAAGGTGGAGGTTAGTCATATTGCTCCAGCTGCTTTTATTCTTCACGTTCACATGTGGCAGTGGTTCTGTAATGTTGTAGAGAAGTGTGCTGAGAAGGATGTGTTGATATACGAAAGAAAGAAATTACTGATATCTGAAGTCACCTATTTGTCTTGTTTTTGAAAATCATCTTCTTCTTTTGTGTTGATTTTTGATCACCCAAATTGTGAAGTAGCATATGTGAGGCAGCATGGTGAAATCAGGCACTCGTCAAAATAATGAAATTGGAGAAACATGAATTTTTCTGCTAGTTTGGAAATTTTTATAGATTTTGTATTTTTTGGCTTAATCGCTTTTATGTCCATATAAATGCGCATTTCTGTATGAATTTCACTGAAAAACATTGATTAAAGGCTCCAAATATGTCATTTTTCAGTTTTCAAAGACTCTCTAGATATTGGAGTTACCAAACTTTGACGCCATTTTCTCGATAATTTCACCACTGAAATCAGGTGAATGACCTCACTTTCTTCAATCACAAATATCTTGAGTTCTATCCAAGATAGATGGATATTTTTTCTATCAAAAGCAAGACAAATGAACAAACTTTATGATGATACAAATAACTCCAAATGCCCCCCAAAAATTGATTCCACCACGTTGCAACACATATACAGGGTGATCCCAAAAAAACTTTACATGTTTTTGAAATATCTTCCTCCATACTGAAGTTTTGTGTTTCATATTTGGACAAAACATTTGGAAGTCAAAAGGAATTTTTCTGATATGTATTTTAGATAACTCCATTGAATAATTTTGCTCTGTATAGCGCATTAAAAAAACAACCCATTTTCAACCTTGTCGCCATTTTCATAGCATGACGCACCAGCTCGCATTAGGCCTACCACTAAAAGTTGCAACAATCGCGCCATATTGCAAGCTACAGCTGTCTAACAAGTCAACAGAAGTCTGCAGATATTATTTTTCCCAAATTTTGTTATCCTGCTTAGATCATGGCTACGTTTAGTAAAGAGCAGAGGGCCTTTTGTATTGAACATTACCTCTCCGCAAACTCACCATCCCTGACATTTCGTAAGTTCTGCGCACGGCATGGAGAGAATGCTTAGGTGCCCTCAAGACCTAAGTTTCGTCAGTTTGGATCTATAGCGAATCAGAACTAAAAAGTTCTTTAAAACATGACCACTTGAGGTTGAACACGCACCATGCGCAGCCCTATAAACATCACCAGAGTGCAGATTTCAGTAGCCGAGTTCCATGAGACGTCTGTCTGTGGATGATCTGCAGCTAGGACTTCCCTACACATCAACAGTCTGCATTCTCATGGCAGATCTTAACCTAAGACAATACCATGTTCATCTTCGCTAGGCCGAGATGACATGGATCAGGGCATGGAAATGTGTTCATGATTCCTCGATTGTCTTGTAAAGAGGGATCATTTCCTCGATGACATTTGGTTTAGTGCAAAGCCCATTTTCACCCTGCGGGATATGTTAACTCCAAAAATGCTGTCTATTGGGCACCCCACTCTATTATCTCTAGAAGCCACTTCTTAGTGAACATGTACAGTGTATGTGGCTTTAAAAGCTCGTGGTTTAGCAGGTCCTTGTGTTAGAGCGCCACTGAACATTTCGAACGACGCGTTAAAAATGTGTCGAGTCCAGAGGAGGGAATGTGGAGTACTGCTTCTAGGAATTTCAGAATGAACTCATTAGGTTTTTTAAACTCTGTAAAAGAAATTAAATATTGTTTAAATGTGGCAGGGATGGAAAATTAATGCCATAGAGAAAATAAAGAAAAAGGTCAACTCATCTTTTCACAACTTCCTTTACAAGATTTTTAAACATGGGTGAACTTTGCGTTTTTGGGTGCTTTTTTCTTTTAGCCGTTTCTGTTTTCAAAACAGGTTTCTTCTTTGTGAATTTTATATCAAACAAATTCCTTTTGAATGAATTATGTCTGTTCCAAATTACTGCATCCTAGAACAATTTTTGTATGAGATATTCAGAAAAAAAGGTGTAACGTTTTTTTTGGATCACCCTGTATTTTGTCAACTGGGATGTCACATGACACCATTGTTCTTACTCTAGTTTATTTGATCTTATAAATGATTGAAATTGGTGTAGCCTTTGTAATATACTTAAAAACATTCTGTAGGGGTTATCACTGGAAGGTCGTGTGTCTTAACAATTTTTCTTATCTTGCATGAATTCAGAATACCTTTGTAGTCTTCTTATTATCTATTAAATTTTGGAGTGAGTAGTTGTACTTACCAAGAGAAAGTATTTCTCATCTGCGGTAAGCCTTTTTTTTTTTACCCCCAAAAAGGAAAGTAAAATAAAAGCCATCTGCAACTGTAGATTACATTATGATCAAGTGTTGTTTGCCATTGAAGCAGGTCTTTGATGTATGCTTAAGTCATTCTTGCACAACAGAACTATCAGTCCTGAGAGTTTTTGTGATTGTACTTATTTGGATGCAATACAATTTTGGAGATACTTATTTTCTCATTCCTCTAGTCATTTTACCGTCTTTCTTATGTATGACCCATAAGAATCATTGTGTCATTTTAGGTTAAAACATATGGACACACTTGTGCTTGGGGTTGTAATGCACTTATTTTTTATCATTGAACTTTATGTAAGTGCACTAGGGTGGTTCATGTTGTGAAAGTACTCAAATTGTCAATCTTGCAGAATGCCTCTCTTTTGAAAGAAGCTGATGGAGTGAAGAAGATCCCTGATCTGGAGGATAAAATTGAAGAACTTCTCTCTGAAAGTCAGGCTCAGGACAAAGCACTGCGGTAAGTTCTCAAGATATTTCAATATCTCTTAAAACTGGAAATTTTGCTGATCAAACTTTTGTTTATGGCAAGTAGTTTTTGTGTTGCAGATGATTTTGGAAGCTCATATCAACCAAACCTCGATGTTTTCCTGCTGTTGCTGCGGTCAAGAATTCAGTGTTCTTTGTGATGTTTAGATAAACATGCTCTATTTTGAGATTTTAAAACAAAAATAACAAGGATATCAAGAGCTGCAACTCTGATGTAATTTCAGTGTTCACACTTAGTGAATTCATTGAGAATAAATGTTAAGAATGTAGAACACGTGACTAAGCACAAGTACTGGCAATCGCCAGTGACGTGAACAGAATAAAAAACATACCTTTTGCAGACCTGCCACTCATCCTGATCTAATCAGGATATCCCGATTTTTTTTACCAAATCTTAAGCATCCCGATTTTCTAGATTTCAGTAGGTGTATTCAAATTTTTTCGGATTTAGTAGCTGACTCGCCCTAAGTTGTGTTTGATCTTTGTCTGCACTCAGAATTCTCTGATGATAGTCTGATAACCGTGACATACAAATAATCGATTTATAATATTCGTAGTACTGCGGTTACTCTCAAAACAAGCCTTGTCGGAGGTGTAGTAACCTAACACTTGGCCGTTGTTGTTAAAAAAAAATTTTTTAAAAAGATTTTTTACGACGCTCGCAACTGCATAAGGTCTGGTGTCAACAGAGAAGTCCATATCCGGAATCAGGCTTACTCTGCTCACCCCTCTAGCTTCAACAGCTCAAAGTCTGCTTCGACTATCAAGGCACCCCGTAAATAGCAGGTCACAAGAGTGTGACAAACATACAAAAGAAGTAGAGGAAAAAATGATGATAGTAAGGATTAGGAAAGAAAAAGCAGCAGTTCCCCGCTGCCGAGAAACAGTTATGAGCATGACATTGATGAATCAGCCCATTTACAATTCTACTGTGCATAAGAACATGTTGTCCCCCCTTTGGGAATCGCCTAAAGACATTTCAGTCAGTAGCACAGCCCCACGGGGTTCGTTGTCGTTGCTTTGATCTGGACGCCGATAAGGGATAAGTAAGAGATAAATTTTTTGAATATTTGGTCGGTCGGCTGTTGCTGTTAGCCTAGAACGATTGTCGCTTGTCTGTGTGTTTGGTGTGAACACGCGGTTAGTCGGGCCCATCAGTAAAATTATATTTAAATCATGCGTTCGCGTCACGTGTCATGACTTGGGCGTGTGAGTTCCGTGTGTGTTGGGGACCTAAAGTTCATGCGCACTGGTTGAAACATCATTCGGGATTTATTGGTTGCGGGGTGTTTAGACACTTGAGTGCTTGATGTGATGCTTCAGAATTTAAAAAAAAAATGATTACACACACACATGCATGTACACACGCGCACACACACACACACACTCTCACAAACACACATATACAGATATATGTGAGTGGACACCCCTAAAAAATTTTTAAGTCAGCTTGGCAGCCACCTTGGTGATTTTTGCTGTTGATCCCGATTTTTTTTTCTCCAAATCCCAATTTTTACCCCTTGAGATTCTGATTTTGAGATTTCATAGAGTGGCAGGTCAGCTTTAGATTCTGATTCTGTTTTACAAAAGCAGTAACTATGAGTAGATTTAGTTGGCAATTTGTTACTTAATAAGCCATTAGGTATCATGCAACTCAGCCTAGCAAGACAAAACGCACAAGGGGAAAAGGAGACATGAATCAAACCTGTGCAGTTTATGACATTCCCTTGCTTTGAACCCTGCTTTTTTTTTAATTAACTCCGAAATAAACATATTTTCTGCTGTAGAAACTTACTTGACTTATATTCAATTTCACCTAAATCAAGCCTTTTTCTGCTAATTACTACTCCTCAGTTTTTGAAAGATCATAGCATGCAAGAGATTTCTGCTTCTGGATTTTGCTCAGGATTTTTGTAATACCATGCTCAAACAAAAGTTGAAAATTCATGAATATTCAAATATTATTCACTGCACAACTGATTGACATACCCCATGGAAGTTGTCAGTTAGCAACTATTTAGAGTTAGCAGATCCTTTAATATGATCATGCTACTGGTTTCTTTCTGCAGGGCAGCAGAGAAACATTTGGATGAAGGATCAAAGAGGAACTCAGAGTTACAGAAGAAGCTGGACGAATGTCAGGCTGAGGTTTCTGACCTGCGAGCAGAGCTTGAGGAGCACAAGGAGACGAAAAAGGCGTAAGTTAATAATTGAGACACTCGAGGCCTTTGGATGAGTATGATTTTCGGTAGTCCATGCCCCTCTCTTGCATATATCTATTGGTTGTATAAGATGAACAAAATTAAGAAAAATTATGAGGGATGACTGCCCGCTAGTTGTATGCTCTGTGGGCAAGGAGATTAAAAGTAATGGAGGATGCTCTGTGGACGGCACCGCACGCCTGATAGGAGCCCTCTCTCGTTGCGGAACTGTGGGCTACCTGCGCTCCGCGAATGCCCGACTCACGCACTGAAATCTTGATAAGAAAGAAGGTTTTATTCCGAGGTCCTTGAGATTAGGCAAGTCAATTAGTAAAAATGCCTTGCACCTGTGTTGTATTTAAGTGTAAGAACCGATATGATGCTGCAGTGGACCGAAGTTTTCTCAGTTAAATTGTTTTCCTTTTAAAAAATTTGAATGAAAGTGTTTTTATGCCCCCAGCAACACAATTTAGATCATACACATTCATAAGAAGCTGGCTCCGGCACTACCTGCCAAGGTCAACCCAGGCTGAAAGGGATAAAACACCCAGCAGAAAGACCGAGATACTCAATTTTTAAAAAGTATTCTTATTCTTATATATATATAATTATTATGTGAGTGTGTATGAACATATTATACATTTTAATTAAAGATATTGCTTTCCATTGTGTGTGCAAATTAGATGCTACTGTTGTGTAAATGTAGATATCTAGAAGCTCCTTTAGAATTTGAAATCAATACTCGACAACAATAATGATGAATATTTTCTATGTTAAAGAAACACCAAACCATATCAGATGAGGGGAGAAGGCAGGGTGGGGTGGATAAGAGTTGGAGTCTTGTTAGATAGAACTATACTCGGTTTAATTCTATTGTTGTAGTCTTCACCTAAGATCCCACAATCAATAATTCCGGTTCACTTAAGATTCTGCTGTTAAAAAAATAAACCAAACAAAGCAACAACAAATTTTACTACACAAGAGTCATCACTTAGAGATAAATTATCCCCCTCTGGAGTGTAATAAGGGACTAAAAACGCTGCTCTCCATATCATACTTTACTGAACAAAAAAACCCAACCCCTTCAAAGGTATTCCACGCTCATGCATGCGATCACACCTCCAAAGGTGCTGTTATCTCTTTTTTTTAAAATATTTGAAAGCATTGTGCGCTCCACTTTGTGAAAACCAGGAAACAAAATTATTGTAATCAATAATATTATTTTTTAATTGACCAAGACATACTGTTAGCAATCAGATAAAGCTGGCATCGACCCTCTTTTGTGTTTGCTATTCCTTACACATAAAGTTAGTTATGGCACACGCCTAGAATCATGCAATCATATCTTAAATTCAGTTTAAAAGTATAAATTTTTATCCATTTCTTATGATTAAATATTTCAGCATCTTGAAAGATTATCTTTATAATTTGGTATGTTTGATAATTTTATGTTACTCAGACAAGTTTTCTTCTTATTTTACACATCTTCTTGATTTTTAAACTAGATTATAACATAAAACTCTTAAAGAATTGAACAGTCCGTATCACACGCAGAATTTTTTTTTTTCTCCCTGTCATTATCCGTCAGCCCGTCAGTTGATCACAATCTCTCTCTCTCTCTTTCTCTGTCTGTCTGTCTGTCTGTCTGTCTGTCTGTCTGTCTGTCTGTCTGTCTGTCTGTCTGTCTGTCTGTCTGTCTGTCTGTCTGTCTGTCTGTCTGTCTGTCTGTCTGTCTGTCTGTCTGTCTGTCTGCCTGTCTGTCTGTCTGTCTCTCACTCTTTCTCTCTCTCTCTCTCTCTCTCTCTCTCTCTCTCTCTCTCTCTCTCTCTCTCTCTCTCTCTCTCTCTCTCTCTTTTATTTAATTTTTCCCATTCTCATTCGTCCCTTCCCAAAGCCCGCCCCTCCTCTTTCATCACAGCCCCATCCCCTCTTCTTTGCGTGCATTCCCCCACCCCACCCACCCCCACAACGTGGCCCAGCCCGATAAGATTCTATAAAAAGAAACGCCACAGTTCATGATTTAGCCCACAGTCAGCGGCCATATTTGATCCCCACGGCGGCGTACTGCTCGTGGCGCCGCGAAGAGAGAGAGGAGGCTCCATTAGTTCTAAACTCCTTGTTTGTGGGAAACTATGGCAAGTAAAGGTGCTAATAGGAAAAGGGTTTAGGTAAATAATTGATTTTACAGTTGGGATTTTAAAATGTTCATCACATTGCTTCATTATGATTTGTGTGTTGTGAATGGGAAAATTATTTATGAAGACCATCATAGCTGTAGGAATGTCAATTCTGACTTACTTCTCACACTGCTCTATGTGTGTGATACATGTGTTCGAAGCTGTTTGATAAAGACATTTTTTATGCAGGAGCAGCAAAGCTGTAGAAAGAACCTTTCACATGAACGTTTTTATCAGACCGTTTTTTAGATATTCATAACTAACCTAATAATATTAATGTACCGAGAGTCTTGTTATACTTAAATATATTTTTACTAGAGACAAGGAATAATGAGAAGGATGAGGCCTATAACAAAGTGCATCATCTACTACTCAAATTTTAATTCTCAGCCTCAGCTTTTCCTTTGAAGCTTTTACCTTTTGTTGTGGGACTTCGTCTATTTCTTCATTGCTCTTCTATGATTCTTTTGTAGGTAACTCTCTTTCATGAACCTCTCTTCTCAATGGCCATCTTTGTGTTTACATGCCTTACATTATATCAGTTACATTTTTGATAACAGGTGAGCTTGACTTGCAGGGCACTATTTGTGGGTCCAACTTCTTTACTGCCTTTTTACTGTTTCAGTCTTTTTCTCTTGCTTTAAGTGACCATGATGGTGTTGATGTAGGCTTACTGCTTACATCTACTGAAACAGCAACCCAGAAGCTTGGCCTATTTATTTTTCCTGCTCTACGCCTGCTTTGTCTTTTCAACAGGATTGAGAGTCAGAGAGATGAAGCTGTTCAGAACCTCATAGAAATGCAGGACTCCTTAGAAGATTATCAAAGAAGAACAAAGGAAAAAATTAAAAAGGTATTCATGTTCACCTTTTTTTGTTGTTAATGCAACGCGCTTTGTTTTTCTTTAACTTTAGCTCTGTCCTCAGATCAGCAGTATGCTAAGAGTTGAACCAAATTTTCTGAGCAGATAAACTTGAGCGACGTGGCTGACAGAAATAATAAATCATAGAGCAACTGTTTTGAAAAGGGTGTAGATATGTATTATTTTTTTTTTTTCTTAAATTTGCCCTTTTCATTCTTTTTTTTTTTTTTGGGGGGGGGGGAGTTCTTATTCTTTTTGAAGTAGTACATTTTGTCATTGCAAGTCATTGGGCAATGATTACTCTAAATAATTGTTTCAATGGTTGAAATAGTTGCATGTAATTAGTTTTCTGCAGAATTGGAAACTTGTCATAACATGAATGCTTGTTGAATAAGAAGTCTGGTTTTGAAAGTCTGGTTTGAAAAAAAGATTGTTGATATATTGTTGTCCCTTTTCCCTCCAGCTGGAGCAGAGTGAGGACCATCTGAGAGATGCCCTCGCCTCCGTCTCACAAGAGCGGGATGATCTACTTGAACAATTGGGTGATGTACAGACCTCTCTAGCTTCTCAAGAGGCTCAGATTAAGTGAGATATACTGTCTCATATGTTGCTATTTTTTTCATTCGTTTGCTCTTGATGTGTCTTTAAACACCCTTCTATACTACTGGTACTATTGTAGAGTTTTCCAATTTTCATTTATTTTAGATTAAATCTAAATAAGAACATGTTAGGCAATGTTACTGAGTACATCTGGGTAAATATGTGTTTGAAAATAGAAAAAAAATGTACTTACTTAGAGTCAAGTGTCCGCCTAAAAGCTCACAAGACTTCACAATTACTCCTCAGGCTGGTATGCTCCTCAGGCTGGTATGTTCTTTCCAAATTACCAGTTCAGTCTTCCCGTGCTCCTATGTCCATGTGCTTCTCTTTACTCAAACAAACAAAAACTCCCGGGGGACATAAGATATTGAAATACATTACGCACACATTTCTGTCTTTCACATAGTTACTGTATCTTATTGGTGGGGGAATGACGTGGAGTGTTTCTTTGTTATGTCCAATGTTTTCTTTGTACTGGTTGCTTTTTAAATAAATGTAGCCATAATTGTACTGAGTCACTATTAACTATTCCTGTGTCCCATTGTCATGTTTATTTTTATGCTAAGGTGACGTAGTTCATTTTACCTTGTTTGCTTTTTTCGATGTATCTTTGATCCATGAGGAAGTGAATGCTGTTTGTGGGTGATTGGCGGGTGCTGTGGTGTGGTCTGCTTCTTCTTACCTATCAAACATCTATCGTCTTTCTCTCTCCTTTTTTTGTGTTTGTTACTCTCTTGCAAAACCTCTGATCTTTGGCACTCATATGACCTTATTGTGTAGCTAAGGTGAAACCCTTACTAAAACAATGAATGCTGTTTTCTTTTCTTTCTTTGTCTAGTCGTTTGTTGCATGATGTGGAACTGGAGGATGCGAAGAAGCAAAAGGCGGAACAGGAGAACGAGAGTCTGCTGCGACAACTGGATCAGCTAACTGCTCAGCTCAGTGAGTTAACTTTGGGTACATTTGAGTAGGCTTAAGGGTTGATCTGTTCTGTCATTCTGCATTGGGACGCTTCTTCTCTTGGGGCTGTGTAATAGCAAAGATAGTACAAGACAAGATGGGCCACTCAGCCTAAAAAGTGTCCGCAGGAAGTATGCTCTTTGCTTCAGATGGCGCTGCAGTCTGTTTTGAAGCTCTCTTTCATTTTTCCAGAAAAAGAATAGGAATAGCACCTCCTTGCGTGCGCAGATCGACTGCTGTTCATCAGCAGTTCGGGTACGTTCAGTGCGGAGTTTTAGTTTTTTTATATTTTAATGACCTCTCGCCCTTCATTCTAAAGTCAAATTAAACGAAGAAAACCATCTCCATTTCCTCCAGAAGAGGTTTTTTGTCAGCGTAACCATTTTTAAAAAGCGTTCTTCCGAAATTTATCCCAAAACTTGCTAGTTTCACTTTGATTTTTTAAAACTCAAGTAGGATAACTCTGTTCGCAAAGAGTGCGCTTTTGTGAAGAAGGCGCCACCAAATTTTGAGGACACTTTTTTAATTGGCTCAAAGAGAGAAGTGGCCCATCTTGTCTTGTACTATCTTTGGTAATAGTGCTTTGTTTTTCACGTTTAGTTATCTAACTAGTTCCGTTTGACATTTTTGTTCTCTCCAATTATTTCCCTATACTAAATGCCTGTTACAGTGTCGACATGTTTCTCTCTGCACAAAACTAGTCCAGTTTGATTTTTTCTCGAAATGTATCCTTGAGACTTGTTACTGAAGGATTTTTTGTCATCAGAGTATGGCGTGGTATGAATTTTAACATTGTCTAAGATGTGTAACTGTGGATGGTTGGCAGGTGTTCTGATGTGGTTTGCTCCTTCTTTCCTATCAAACATCTATCATCCTTATCTCTCTTCCTTCTTCTCTTTCAATGTTACGCTCTAGTACCACCTCTATTCTTCGGCACTTATTTGACCTATTTGTGTTGCAAGTCCCGTAAAACTCTTACTAAAACTTAAAGAAAAGCCTTTAATGTTCATCAGGCATATGACTTAGTTGTAAAAGCAGTGCTGTTATACTCTTACTATAACACCATCTACCACCTAGTGGGTTGGAGGATGTATAAAGGGACTAATAAAGCCGCTGTCCTTTCTGCAGGAGGTGAAATCCCTCTGATGACGAAATGTCACACATTGATAGGGTGCATGATGCAGATGAAATCTGAAAGTGCGTGTTTAACACTTATAGTACCGAAGGCTCGTATAGTGAAAAGTACTTCAAGTACCGCACCAGTTTAGAACTCTGAAGCCATGGTAGAATTTTTTAAAAACCTTCACAGCACAAGAAACATCCTTTGAAGATTCACAGAGGTTCATCAACCGCTCAGCTGTCAAATAGAGTGACTTTCTTTGGTATTTACCATGTACTTCAGTACAGTAGGTCTGTTAGTTGTTTACTATGTTTAGTGTGCCTGGTCGAGTCGGTGACTGCCGCCAGCGGTAATGAGCGCATACTGGGACCCAGTCGCCCGATGGTACTAAAAGTGTTAACAAAGCTGATTTTGACGAGTACAGTAGTGCTTGATCAAGGCTGCTGTTGGCAGCTATACTACACTTATTTACTTTTTACTTTATCTGTCCTCTTGTACATTCAGGGCGTGGAGGGGAGAGAGAGCTTTTTGTCTCTAACAAGTTGGATGGCCTGGCTGGATGGAATGTTGTGTTTTCAGGGTATCCTTCACACCCTCAATCCAGGTCCTTCTTGATCTTCCTCTTGCCTTGTACACTGATATTTTTTTGTAGTTTGGTTTGCTGGCAAGCTGGTGAGGTGCCATACGTGTCAGATTTTCAAACCACCTGATCATTTGCTTCTGAATGTAGTGGAGGACAGGTGTTGTTCCCATAATTTCTGTGATCTTGTTGTTTCTGATCATGTCCCGTCTGGCATTGGTAGGTCAAGGTAGGGATGAAGATAGGCTTAATGAGCTTGGCTTTGGTCTCAATGGGGATGCTAAGATGTTTGAGGTGTGTGGCATGCTGGTAGCTGACGCTGCTAGCCTTTTGTACTCTCGTCTCGATTTCTCCATTCTATACAGAGGATTAAATCTAGCCAACAAAGAGATTCTTGTTCTCCCACTATTTTAAAGCGAAAAATAGTGGGATAAAAGCCTTAGCCTCTATGCTTCTCCAATTTGACCATTTCTTTTTTCATTTTTCAAGTGATTATAGTTCTTTCAGCTTAAGTAGGTTATTCATCATTTTAGATTTTAACATTTATTTGTTTTAGATGACTTTGAGAAAGAATCCAAGAAAAGTGAATCAATGAGGCAGGAAAAACTGCTCCTTGAAAAAGAACTTTCCGGACATCGGGTTGTGGCTCAAGATGTGGCAGAACTGCTGGCTTTGTTTCAAAAAAAGCAAAATAAAAACACACAGGTGGGTGAATTTCAACATCTGTTTTTGTTTCTCTTGTACGTAGTAAATGAAACGTGAAATTTGTATTGAGAAGAGTTTTGTTCTTATGATTTACTGAGTTTTGAAAGATTTGGCAAGTGGTAGGAAGATGGCTAGGTGTGGTCTGCCCCTTAATACGTCTATTTAATTTTGTATATACGTTTACTCCATTCTGTTTTTGGGGGCAAGGTGGTCGTTTTCATCTGATAAAACAAGTGGTTGGATCTATAGCATTCGTCGTAGAAGTTTCCAGATTGGTTTGAGCCGTGTGTGTAGCCATCTTAGCAGCTCTATCAGTTTCTTTCCCAAATCACCAAGTGATGCAAGTGATTGTTGGGGGCTCCTGGATGGTTGCGTTGTTTTTCTTTCGTATCTAACCTATTACTTTCCTTCCTTTGTTTCTGTCTCTGTCTGTCTTGCTTTTTCTGCAGCACTAAATGACCATTACTGAGTCAATGTGCTTCTCTTTACTAAAAAAGGATAGCACCCCCCCCCCCCCCTTATCTAACTGACTTATGCCTTCTTTTGTCCATTATTCTCATCATTGGATCATGTATGTCTTTTTTATTCTTTGCCAGTAGTTGGCGGGCGCTCTGGTTTCGTTTGCTCCATCTTTTCCATCATTTTCGTTCTTACCTCTGCTTCTTTTCTTTTATGTTAATCTCTAGTAGTAACACCTCTAATCTTCAGCACTTTTCTTACCTATGTGTGTTGCAAGTGGGGTAACAATCTTACTAAGTGGGTGGTTGATGGGTGCTCTGGTGTGGTTTTCTCCTTCTGTCGTATAAACCATCTATCGTCCTTATCTCTCCTCCTCCTTTTTTTGTGAAACATCTATTCTTCGGCACTTATATGACCTTATTGTGTTTCAATCGCAGTAAAACTTTTACTAAAACTTTAAAAATCTCTCTAAAATAAAATGTGCCACCTGTATGTGCTCGCAGAATGACAGTGGGAATGACAGCATCCAGACCTTCGCAGGCGTGTCCCAGCGTGATGCGTTGCTGTACGATGCTTGTCTCAACGCTGCAGCTGCTGAGCTCAACAAAAACAATAATGGTTTGGACAGTGTTGCAAGTGCACTTGTGGGAGTGAACACTAACAACAATGGCTTTGGCTGTGAAGGTTCATCGATGATTGGAGAACTCAGGTATAGTTTTGTGGGATATTTTATTCTTGTAACCAGCTGTTTTTTGTTTATATTAATGTTCGCTTTGAATGTCTTGTATAAATTAGGTATGGCAGTGTGTGTGGTTGGGAAGTGCTGTAAAAGGGCTCTGCTCTTTATTTCTTTTGAATATTTCCTTTGCTTTTATCCGTTCCCGTGGAAATGTGGGTTTTCCTGAAAAGTGAGTGTAAATGACAAACATACTTTCGAAGAGAAAAGGAACAATTTTATTGCTTTCACCTGAGGAATTTCTGGTTTCTGTGGCATGTACACTGCCTGCTGAGGACAACTAGAGAGGTTTCACGAACATTATGTAAAAAACAGCCTAACACCGAATCACACAATATTACAGACCATGTCATCACTGGATTTTGAACGAAGGCTATTATGTTTAGCTCAATGACGCTGTCACCTTAAAGGTGTCACCAAAATTTTGTTTGTGAAAATGAACTCATCACGGCTGTTAAAACCCCACTACAAGTGGTACTTTAGTTGGTGGCCGAGCAACGGTGTGACCTTCTCTTCTTAAATTTAGGTTCGTGTTATTTTTCCAACATTTCTCTTTTCCATTTTAAAAAGTATTTTAGCCCAGTTAGGAAATGAAGAAACATACAGAAGATTCGCATTTTCAAAAACTGCACAAACTTTGCAAAAAGTGTGGTGACAGAACACTGTCTGGCAAGCAGAAGGCTCAGAGAATACGACCCCTGCAGTGTTTTAAATTTGTATTGGACATTCTCTTAGCCTTTGGTGTTAACCTTACAATGGGCTCACTGACAGAACATTAAAAAACCATCTGCACAGTTTGGGTGGACAAGATAAGACATAATATAAAGAAACATTGCTATTAGGGCTCTATAACCGCCTGGTTTTTCTGAAACTACTCTTGATGCTTGTTTTCACACTAGTTTACACCTCCCACGTATGAGTTTACACCTCCCACGTATGAGTTTACACCTCCCACGTATGAGTTTACACCTCCCACGTATGAGTTTACACCTCCCACGTATGAACACTGAACCCGGTAAAGTAGCACCACCATACCTTTCCTATTGTTCTTGGTGTAGTTCTGAACCACTATTGTTTGCTAGAGGCAGCGACACACAAAATAAACATACAGCTAAGTGAGCAATCAGAGGAAGACTTGAAAGGAATTTCATTGTTACTACGTGCATATGGCAAAAACTGGAGTCGTGAGGAGGAACTAAATGGGGAGATTAGACATTTTGAAGGTTGCGTTGTATTTCCTGACTCTGAAGAAGAAGGAATTAACTGTCAAAAACAATTGGCGGAGAAAGAAGACAGGTTGTCTAAGTTAGAGCATAAACCCTTTAGCCCTAGGACTAGCCCTATCTGTTCTCATTTTGACCCCATACTTGACTCACACAACATCACTCCGCAGGCATATCACAGCCACTTTTTCATTCGCAATCACTGCCACAAATACATCATGAGTCCCATTTATAAATACCTCACTGCATTTATTGTAAAAGAAACAGTAGAAAACACCTACAGCCAAAACATAGTTGACACCGCTTACATACTCAGAGAAAAATTCAATCAATTAAACAATGCATTCAGGGGCGTTCACGTCCACATCTCACTCGGCCAACTAGTGTTAAAAGACAGACTACTACTCATTGACTGTTGTGATGCAACCTCAGCACCTCATGTCAAATCAGGAACTATTATCCAACATACCGCAGACAAAGAAAAAAAGGTGATACTGCAATCCACTCTTCATTACTCCAAAACCATGGACTTTACCCAAAAACAACAAAGTGAATTTTGATACTTGACCATTTCTGGTGTATTTTATGTAAATTTGAAGAATTTTGGGGGTTTTGTTTAACCCCCAAGTTCATTTTAAAATATGAGCCCCTTTTTGGAACGCTATATATATTTATCGTTATTTCATACTATTTTGCGTCTTTCTCAGTGAGTGCAGAAGTTCTATCTTCTTCCAGACGCGCAAAATAAAATGATGGCAAAGTCACTGTCGGCGTATTGTGGGAGTTTAATTGTCCTAAAGAGGAAGTGAACAATGCTGTGAGTGGGACACAGGGATTTCCCCTGGCCACGAGTTCATGACCCAGCGACCGGGGTCAGATTACAAGATGCGGCACGCTGGCTGCCTGCGAACTAAAGTACCGTTTCATAACAGCCACGTCTCACGTACCCCAAATGACTTGTGAAATGTTCGAAAAGTGGATGTAACCTCTTGTACAGCTTTCATGTATAAAGGTATCTTATGTGTTCAAGAAATCAGTTGATTCTGTCCATTCTCAGAACACTCTTCTGTAACATGGATGGTGAAATCCAGCGTCTGCGATGTGATCTGAAGTCGCGAGACTCTGACGATCGCACATACCAGAACCTGCGTGAGGAGCTTAAAATCCTGATGGACAAAGTGGAGGGAGGTAAGAATGTCCTCTTTCATTGGTGCCATTTTTTTTTTGGGGGGGGGGGGGGGGGGTTGTCTTAAACAAAAAAAAACAAATTGGACAATTTTTCTGCAGTTTCAACATTTTTAATGTAGTGTCTATACTTGAGCATTTTGTCACACTCAAACTCAGGTTGCTTGTGTAAGATAAAGAAAGCTCTAAGACATGCTGATGGCCATTTTGCCTTAGAAAAAATTATGATATCTGACAGAAATAACAAGTAAATTGGAAAAAAATTGGATCTACATTGTCTTTGCTTTGGGGAAACTGGGATCTGATTTGCAGTTGGAGAGTATTATTACTTGTAGACTCTTATGTCTGTCTTTTGTGTCTGTCTGATCTCATGTTTTGTTGGAGTACTGCTTGAATGTTATATGTCAACATAATCTTTCAGACAAAAACACTGACTCACCTTCAGCTGCCATCATTTAGTGTCTTGTGTGGAGCTGACTTTGGCGGTAATGGTTCGCCATACCTCTCTTTCAATTGAGGCCCTCATGAATGATTTATTGTTCATTGTGATGTTAGTTGCCCAGGTCTGCCGTCGTAAGGGAAAATGACGAATGGTCCTGCGCAGGTAGCGAGGCAAATTTTTCAAGAGAGGCAAAAACAGTTTTCACTTTATAACTCTTCTATTTTTCACTCTTTTAAGCTGTAATTCACCAGATATCTGATTGAGGTGTTCATAAAGCAGTTTCTAAAGTTTGAATGGTTTAGGTTAAAAAGTAGCAAAGTTATTCGACATTCGTCGTTCTCCCTTACACTGCGCACCCACAGGTGAGCCTTGCGATGTAAACGAAAACGACGAATGGTACGGTTCGTCGTTCTCCCTTACACTTGTGAACGTTTATGGGCGGAGGCGATGGTCAATTGTGACGCATTATTGACAGTAATGACTGTGTACTGGTTACTACAAATAAAAACAAGACGTATACAAACTAGCACGTATAAAGTTAGATGTTTGTTATATCCCAACTGTAACTCGGTAAACATCCTTCGTTTCCCTTCCTCGCTTGGTTAAATACTACACAGTCAGTGTACAAATCAGATGTGCACACATTTTCAACAGCTTGATTTAATTAAAACTGTTTCATTCAGAACCAAGGTTTGGTCTCCACGATATCTCTTTATTGTATTCTCTTCAGAAGCGAGTTTTACTTTTATTTTTTGCTAATTGCAAAATTTTCCCTGCACGACCAAAGGGATCACCAATGTTACAATGTCAATAATACGATAAGATCGTTGCAAAGTCGAACAAACTTTCACGTGAGAAATATAACAATCTGAAAAGACTGTATCACAATCGCTTTCAGGAGAGGTAATGCAACGCTTTGTATTTAATAAAGGATTCAGTTGATCGGATCGGAAAACATACCACAAAGTAGAGATCGACATGGACAGTTTGAATCTGCAAGACATTATTATACTCGATCGTAACGTCCATCAAGTCATAAAAAATCGTAAAGCAAGACTAAGTGTCGCCACAATACGTCCACTTTTTAAGTTGGACAAAGAAATGTACTCTTATAACGCAGTGTCATTAATTGTTTGGTAATTCTATAATGATGTCCACCAGTGACACGTGTTAGACAAATTGTGGCACTAAAACCATCGTTGGGATTTGGAATGCCAAATGACTGGACAGCAAACTAACATGACGTTAGTCTGTGAACATCTGGCGGACACTAATATGCAGTGCTAATAAATTTCTCCCTAAATGCTTTTTTGACCCTCCCATCTCCACCCCTTTCCCCCTGTTCCCATCCGTTTTCCCCTCTCTCCCGCCTGCTCTTGTCAATTCACACCATCAGCATAGACCTAATACGGGAAGACAGACAGAAAGACACACTAAGTAATACGTCCTTATATACCTGGTTGACGGTACTCCGGGGGAAGGGGTGGTGGAGTGTTTGTTTACAAAAAACCTAGTATGTTTGTACTGACGCAACAGTGATCAATTGTCATTCGTCACCCTTGCAGTATTTGCCCGACAGCAGAGACCAGGGGACAATGCTGAACGAGCAGTGATCCTTGACCGATCGACCATTCGTCGTTCTTCCTTACACCGAGCTCTGGCTCGGAGCTCGCCAGTGTAAGGGAAAACGACGAACTCTCAATTACGCAACAACGGATTAGGATATGACAAAAAAATTTACACCATCAGATGAAGAATTAAATACTATATGAAATATGTAAAAATTGAAAAAATCGAAAAATTTTGACCATTCGTTCCCTTACGACGGCAGAGGTGTTCAAGCTATGTATGAATCTTGTGTGTCGGCGTCCAACTTTTCTTCTCGTCAATTTTTCCAGTGAAACTTTGTTGTTTCAACCCTTTTTTTCTGTATACACCCCCCGGGAATTTCATTCGTTACCTCCTTATTGTCACCTTATTGTGTAATCTATTCTAACTTGACTTGCTAGATAAATAATGTCTGTATGTGTGTGGTTGCTGAACAGGCATGCAGAGGAACCAAGAGCTGGAGTGCCTGGTAGTGAACCTAGAAGATGACAAGAAGAACTTGGAGGCCAAGCTGGATGATGCCTTGCGGGCTCTAGAAGACCGGGATCGCCAAATTCAGTGCCTGGACACACGGCTCAACGAGCGCAACCGACAGGTCATCTGTCTACAGGAGGACATCAGCGACAAAGCTCAGAGAATCAGCTCACTAGAGAAGGAGGTGCGTTGAGAGTAGTTTGAGTTTGAGTGAATATTTAAAGAAAATAATTTTTAGTATAGTTTTTTAGCTGTTGACAGACTTTGTACTAGTATTGACGGCCATCCCTAGAGTGTGGTTGGCGGGTGCTTTGGTGTGGTTTGCTCCTGCTTTTTTAAAAATCGAACCTTTATCGTCCTTATCTCTCTTCCTCTTTCTTTGTTTTTGTTATTCTCTTGTAACACTTCTAATCTTCAGCTTTTAGTGGGTGGTTGGCAGGTGCTCTGGTGTCGTTTGCTCCTTCTTTCGCATCGAACATCTATAATCCTTATCTCCCCTTCTTCTTTTTTATGTTTGTTACTCTCTTGTAACATCTCTAATCCTCTGGCGCTCATATGACCTTATGCAGTTGCGAGCGCCGTAAAACCTCCTACTAAAACTACTAAACTTCAGCGCTTATATGACTTTATTATGTTTCAAGTACTATGAAACTCTTACTAAAAATAAAACAAACTAAGAAGGCAGAACAATGACTTCAGTCAAAAGTATGCATTAATCTCCAAGGCCCAATGGCTGAAGACCGTGGTCATTGAACTTGCATCTATTGCATGCCACAGGGAAAAGCCTATTCGTTACACTGCATATTCTTGTGTGGAAAGACGCTTTGAAAAAATTCAGATCAAATAAGTAGGAAGAAAGTATAAACATGTTGTTTAAAAGTGTTTAAGCCTCTAAGTGCTAAGCTATTTTTACCATTACTTCCCTTCAGTGCTGGGTTTATTTTAGAAAAATGTCAATTTTCAACATGCTTATAAAAAAAGCTCATCTCTTTCTTATTTATCATAATTTCTAATTACAGTAAGAATAAAAAATGTGTCTCATTAAATAATGAACTACCCCTATGTCAGGTCAGATGTGGTTTTTTATGATGTTGTTGTTGTTGGTATCAAAATCCTCATCATTTTTAGTTCAGCCTGCTTGGAGATCAGCAGGAATATCGATGTCCCCTTCTGGGCTTAGCCTCGCTAGATCTACGACACAATATCCCCATCATTCACACATAGATCTCAGTCTTTTATTTGAGGACCTAATCCTTCAAACTCTTTATCGCTGTCGCTCGATTCCAGAAAAATATTGGGTAAATCTGTGTCTAAATCTGCTGACGAATCCGATATTTTGAAAACTGTAAACAATATCCCAGAAAATTGCTGATAAAGAACTCCAAACCGATCCCGGACTGCGAAATGCACGGCCAGCGGCACTAATAAACGTTGCACTAGTGGGCTGTAGTCACCAGCAGTTTAAAAAATAGCTATTCTCATGTCAGCGGTATAGTTTCTACACTCATGTCGGATCACGACCATGCGCGCGGAAGGGAGGTATGAGTCATCACGACCAGTAGTGGTCGTGATTCGCACGCAGAGGGTTAAATTACATAGTTTTGGGATTGTCGAAAAAGGATGGTTAAATTAACCACTGAGTAGACAACTGTGTACAGATCTGCCATCTTTCAGATTCACATTGCCTTTTGCTTCCTGTTTACAAAAAATGTACCATCCGAAACATTGTGTATGTGTGTGTTGATGAATTTGTGTACGTGCATGTATTTGCCATATCTCAACCAATTTCTCTTTGTGATCTTTTTCTGGTACAAAATTAGCATCGATCTTATTGAAAGTGTCTTGTCATGGACAAACACCATATGAGTGATGGGTAGGGCCTTGTTTATTTTTGGTAGTATCCGATTAAATCATCACAGTTTGGACAAACTTTAAGCACTGTTAACTGCATGGCAGAAAGACTTCTCAGCGCAAGAGTTTGTGAACATTTCATTGACTCTTGGTAATATTATGTTTGGTATTTGTCTGGCAAGTTAGGCAGTTGTTGCACAGAGATTTTATTGTTCAGATAACATTGAGTGTTTCTGTTTTTTTCAGATCAGAGAGTTTAAGAAGAGGATTGATGATTTAACGACTGCAGACGTGAGCAATGAGTTAGAGATGGCTATGGAGAGGATCAAGGAACTGGAAGAAGTCCTATCCTGCAAAGAAAGTGCCATCTGTGAGCTGCAGGTAAATTGTCTCTCTCACTTAGATTTATTATAGTATCCTTTCTATAAAGATGAAGTACACATACTATATGCATGAATATATTGTCACTGTAGGGTTCTAATCAGCTAACCCAAAAAATGCAGGGTCCGCCCTGGGATCTAAACTGTTGAAATGTGTATAATAGCCTTGTTTTTTAGTATTTTCACTGTTCTGTAAACTTGACAGAAACCGAGTCAGCCGCTTAGAATTCTGCAGCAACAATGTATGATATTATAACTATTTGAATCTACTGGGGGGGGGGGGGGGGGCTTTAAAATGGTCAAAGAAATTGGATATCAGGGTAGTGTATGTATGCATGGGGCTCATTTTATATTGTATCATCTGTTCTGTTTCAGGATATATATGAAAACTGGGTAGATACTCTCCAGGTCACTGAGTTTTTAGTAATTTGAATCTTGACTTTGTTTCTAGATGAAGGTGTCCAACCTGCAGAAAGATATGAAGGCAGCTCAGACCAAGTATGAGAAGAAGATCTCCTGTCTTTGTGACCAGGTGCAGGAGTACCAGAGACAAGTGGAAGTGGTGAGGGACTTATTTTCTTTGAGAAAGTGGGTTTGCATGTGGATGTTTTCATTTCAAGAATTTGTTTGTATGCATGTCTATTTTTTTATGTCTTATCTGCGTGTGTACCATTGTGTTTGTCAGTCTCTCTCAGTCTGTTTATTACTATAACTTCTTTTTATTGTTATAATTTTCCTGAGCTTCAGCTATCAAATCCTATCAAATATCTATGACTCCTTATCTCTCCTCCTTATTTTCTTTGATTGTAAATCTCTAGTAAAATGTCTAATCTTCGACTCATGAATAACCTTTTTGTGTTGCTTCTGCCACAAATGACCAATGGCTACCTTAGAATAACCATTTTTTATCTAACATTTTAGGCCTTTTGAGTTACTAAAGCCTTGAGGTCAAAAATCAGATGTTCTGTCTGCTCTATCAAAATCAGAAAATAATTCGGAGTCATTATTAAAATATTCAAAGAACTGCATTCGAACAAGCTGGACATGGTGTGAAACTCAAAATTTTTTACATCAAGTTTCTCTAAACAAGTTTCTGAGCAGATACAACTTTGTCATTCTAAGGTAGGGTAATGTTGTGCCTATATATCTTTTATTGACTCAAACAAATAAACAAACATAGAAGTAGATAGCTGGTAGATGATCTGATGTGGTCTACATCTTCTAATGCTTTTCAGATAAAGTATTGTCTTAAGATTTATTCAGATTGAATGTGGGTGGTTGGCGGGTGCTCTGGTGTGGTTTGCTTCTTCTTTCCTGTCAAACATCTGTCATCCTTATCTCCCCTTCTTCTTTTTTGTGTTTTTTACTCTCTTGTAACAGCTCTAATCTTCTGGCACTCATATGACCTTATGCAGTTGCAAGTGCCGTAAAACCTCTACTAAAACTAAAACTAATCAGATGGAAATGTCGCTGTCACCGTGCCGACTCACCAAACACGGCAACTTGATAAACATATACATGAATAAAAGTACTTATAGATAAATCAGTTGATAAACAAAGAAATGAATGAATTGGAATGTTTTCTTTAATTTTTTGTTTGCCACCAACTTCTTTCTCTTTCCCCAGATGTCGGAGGAAAATGAAACTGTACGACAGAAGCACAGCTGCTGTAGCAAAGCCCAAGATGACATGCGACGCACTATCCGCAGCAAAGAGGACTGTATCAAACAGTTGGAGTCAGAAATTGAGGAACTCAAGATTGTGAGTATATGGGATCGTCATGATGGAGATGTACTGTCATGGTTTTTAGTCAAAGGGACTATAAGTTGAGCTTTACTGAGAATTTTATAAATGTTAATCCATCCTTTTGATCAACAGTTGAGCAGCCCAGTTATGGTGTACACACTTTTTGGTACTTGTTTTTAGTCAAAGGGACTATAAGTTGAGCTTTACTGAGAATTTTATAAATGTTAATCCATCCTTTTGATCAACAGTTGAACAGCCTAGTTATGGTGTACACACTTTTTGGTACTGACATGACCAAATTGTGTGGATGGCACCTTAAAACATGTAATCAAATGAAACCAAACTCTCCTTTGTGGTTTCAGACGCTGGAGGAGAAAGAGAAACTGAGCGTGAAGCTTCTGGAGAGCTGTCAGGACAAGCTGTTCAAGAGCAATGAGCAAGTGCAGCAGCTAGAGAGTGCACTGATGATGTGCAAGAACGAGGTCTGCAAACACCTGCAGACCATGGAGGAGATCAAGAACCACTTTGAGTACGAGTGCACTCAGAAGGACAATTGTGTACGTTCTTGATTGATTGCAGTTGATTTTTCAATGTATTTTGCCTCAGATCTGGCACTTGAGGATGGCGATACCTGTTTACCATAACCATATACCAGTAATTTAAAAATGATTTGGATTGTAAATATGTAAGACAATGATAAAAATCAGTTCGGGATTAAACTGATTTGATCATAAAAGACTTTTTACAAGGTGCACCAACAGGGATTCCCTGCTGAGCGCCTTATCACATCGGGGTCACGGGGTCAGCTACCTTTTGCCGCTCTGTCGGGGCTGACTTAATTTTTGGTACTTTTTAACCGTACGTTTTAGGTGTATCTTTGTACCTATAGTAATTATCATTAAATGCACTCATAGCATAGATTTCTGCTTTTGTGACTTAAAAAAGAACGGGCATTATATCTTGTGTTGTTATTTTGTTGGGCGCTCTTGAAATAAGCTTTGCTAAACTGTGATTTGTTTTAACAAGTGTTGATGAAAAAAAATCAATATAAAAAAATCAGCACGACAAAACGTGTCCAGCTTTTAGAATATGAACAACATAACATAGATGTAAGTAGTACTATCTAAAAACTCTATCTGCGCAGATGATAGAAAGCTGTACTTCTGCACCTTAATCCATCTTGCACTCATTATGCTGAGAAGTGTTGTATGACACTGCAGTTCTTCCATTTACAACTTTATATGTCTGTTTGTTTTAGTAGAGGTTTTACGGCGCTCGCAACTGCATAAGGTCATATGAGCACCAGAAGATTAGAGGTGTTACAAGAGAGTAACTAACATAAAAAAGAAGAAGGGGAGATAAGGACGATAGATGTTTGATAGGAAAGAAGAAGCAAACCACACGAGAGCACCCGCCAACCACCCACTTTATATGTCTAATGCAGTCCTGAATATATATATACACATATTTATACAAATCATTTTAAAATAAAATGTATATCCTTGTCTCTCAACGAATCGACTGAGTGCCATAGTGCCATAATTGTTGGCCTGAAAGGCCGTGCTCCTTACCGAGAAAATCATAATGTCAGTTGAGAAATAGAGTAATTTTCTTGCCCTTCCAAGCGTGACTGCTAAGACATTTTATGTCGGCATCGACTCCAAAATGGAGAAACCTTTCCAAATTTTCATAATGATCCCTATCTGTGGCCAAAGCAAAGACAACAGTGTTTCTCTGGCAATGTGGATTTTCCAGGTTGGCAATTTGTAGAGTCATCTTAAGGGAGTTTTTGCCATGGTCACCCCCTACTTTCACTCAGACTTCATCGTCGTGTATATTGCCCATCATGCCACGTCAAAATATTATTTTTGTCGTAGGCGTCTAAAAGATAATCAACCTATGTCGGCAACTTTACTACCCTTGCCAAATGCTCTTTAGACTCTGTCCCTTTCTGGCTAATAAAATACTTCTGTTCTACTTGGACAAAATCTGGCACTATCTCTCTGGAAAAGTCCCTAACGGATGTCTCACTTTCCAGGAGGATTCTTGCCTTCTTCAGATGTTTTCTTTGGTTTCTTCCCAGACGCCAACTGAGCCCAAGTGCCTCGAACATGCACAGAGTTTGTTGTTTAGTCAATTTTAATTGCTGAGCTCCCTTTTGTTTTATTGTAGATTACCTGTCTTCGGCACATGAGAACTGTCTTTAGTTCAGAAGCAAATTGCTTGTCCAGGGCTTCTGGTGATTTGCCTGACATTTTCATTCTGGCTTCTGATAGCCATCGAGTCCTCTTCCGTTTGGTAGGTGTCTTTGCTGCAGAAGACTTTTTTCTAAGTACTATAGTTTTCTGCTGTACTAGGAGTTGTCCTTTCGTTTTGCAAGAGAAGGCGCTGTGATTTGGATCTTGGAATAATTTTCTCTTTACAAAATGTGTGAGGAGCTGTTCTTCTGTTTTTGAAAGAGGCTTAGGGACTGGTTTTTGAAACAAAGTATATCTCTGCTCATGTCTTTACACAGTTTTTTTTTTTTTTATATGATCTCTTATCTTTTCTAGTTTTATGCAGGCTGCCACAGATACGATACAATTCATGAACAAATGCAAAGTGTCTTTCTCTTGTGTGTTCCATGGTAAAGTAGGAGTCAAAGGAGTAATACTGAGCGTATTTTGTCAAAAAATGCAGATGTGCATCTTTCTTCTCCTATAACTCGACTATTACTATTTTCGCATATATAGGATTTCACATGGTGAAAGACATGCAATTCGTCGTCTGTTTAACACATATTTTGGAGAGATCTGTCGTGCCGATGTTAATTAAACAAGCATTTATTCATACGTATGTAACTAAAAATAGGCCGAATGGGGTACTCTACAAATACTTATCTAGAACAAACACTAAGGCGCAGAAAATAACCACTCCCTACGAAGAATAAATCTCGAAACACTTAAGCTTTACATACATCAGTGTAATGGTATGCTGTGTGGGATGGGGAGGAAGTTTTATCGTTTTAAAAGATAACAAAAATGCGAACTTCTTAACCGACACGGGCGAAGTTGCTTCAGGGCTTATTAACCCCGTGACCTGGAGATGTGAAGCGCCAGCGGGCCACTGAGTCACGCGAACTGAAAGTAACTGAATCGGGAGAAAAGTAACACTACACAGTGTTTTTGGCCATCTCTGTAATAATGTAAGTTTCTTGCCCCTAACCAAACAAAGCATCATCGCTCCCAACATCATTTGTTTCCCAAAATGATTTTCAACAGATCAAGCAACTGAATGAGAGCTTGCGTAGGACCAAAGAAGATCTGGAGTGTAAGGTGGATGAGGTGTCTGGCCTGGAGCACACTGTCATGACACTCAAGTGTAAGATAGAACAGCTGTTCAACTCGCTGAAAGAGTCGGAGAACAACAACGCTTGTCTTACAGAGAAGGTCAGACTTTTTTTTTTACATCATATCTTTGTTGGAGATAGCATCAGGAACCTTTGACTTCCTTTGTTGTGTTGTCATTATCCTGATCTTTATCTTCGTGGATGGTTGGCGGGTGGTGGGTGTTCTGGTTTGTGTGGTTTGCTCTGTCTTTTGTGTCAAACACGTATCATCCTCTACTCTCCTTTTTTTTTGTGTTTGTCTCTCCCGTGACACCTGTAATCTTCGGCTTTTAAATTACCTAAATGTGTTGCAAGTGCTGTGAAACTCTTTAACTAAAATTAACTAAAAAGAAATGATTTTTATCTTCTTTTTCACCTCACACAGCACTGAGGTGGTGCTGATTATTCACCACCACCCCCCCTCCCCACACACACACACAATACACTAGCCAAATGAGTAGTAATTCAGACTAAAAAATAATGTCAAGCAAGTGACATTGACCCCTGCTGTAAATGGGTGGTTACAGGGGTCTGTCATTTAGCAACAAACACAATTACCCTA